TAAACCCCTATCCGCGCCCCTACTTAAACCCCTACTCTAGCCCCAACTCACTCCCTTACTTAAACCCCTACACGCGCCCCTACTTTAACCCCTACTTAAACCCCTACCTGCACCTTAAACCCCCTACATGAACCCAAACTCACCCACTACTTAAACCCCTACCCGCGCCCCTACTTAAACACCTACTTGAACCCCAACTCACCCCCTACTTAAACACCTACTTGAACCCCAACTCACCCCCTACTTAAACACCTACTTGAACCCCAACTCACCCCCTACTTAAACACCTACTTGAGCCCCAACTTACCCCTTACTTAAAACCCTACATGAACCCCCAAATCACCCCTTACTTAAAACCCTAAATGAACCCCAACTCACCCTCTACTTAAAACCCCTACTTGAGCCCCAACTCACCCCCTTACTTAAACCCCTACTTGAGCCCCAACTCACCCCCTTACTTAAACCCCTACCCGCGCCCCTACTTAAACCCCTTCTTGAGCACCCAACTCACCCCCTACTTAAACACCTACACCCACGCACCGCCCGTGTGTGATCGCTCACCGCCTGGCCAAACACCGTTTACTCACGAGATCGAGTCAAGCTAAAAATAACTCACACTCACGTGACTCAACATGGCGCTCAAATCACTGAGTCGATCTAATCTAGACACACCCAGCTCAACGGGCCAACGTTGCGTATAGCCTATAGACCTATGTGTCATTCAACACACGCTCCATGTTCTCTTGTTATCGTAAATTCAGCCGATGCAGTTTGTTTGGGGACACTTCCGCTTTAAGTTAGCGGTTTATATTGACAGTAATTTTGATCCCATGTTGCTATTGTCACACGAACTAACTGCATGTACAAAACAATAATACAAGACAGTGGCGTAGCGAGGGTCGGGTGTCACCCGGTGCGGCACTTAATGGTGTCATCCCCCAGAGGCGTAGCGACCCTTCCAGGGGAAAAACTTTAAATTTTCGATTTGCCCCCCCCCCCCCACCTCAAACTTTCGATTTGCACCTCTTACAAGACTATTTAACACTCGAATTAATCATTTAATTAAGTGGAATTATCATTTTTCTCTATATATTTTGCTATTTTTTGCCTTGGTGTCACCCCCCCTAAATGGTGTCACCCGGTGCGGTCCGCCCCCCCCCCCCCTCGCTACGCCCCTGATACAAGGCTCTATGCCAGGAGGGTGGAGTAGGTGAAGACAAAGCCATAACTGGGGGACATCAAAGATTGGTCTAGAGACTAGACTGTCAGTTGCAGAACTACTCAGGGGCATCAGAAGACCCAGACAAATGGCGGACAACGATGAGAAAATTAAATGTGTTACGCCATCGAACCCAATAACGGTTAAAGAATCCTGATTGAATGATTGATTAGTACATTGATTATTGATCGATCTTTGTTTATTTTTTTCCTTTGTTTAACAATAATACCTTTATATTTTAATTAATTAAAAATCAAGTAAAATATGGATTATTTGGGCGTAAATTTACATAGTTGGTTGCTGAGTGTTGTAAATTGTGACGTATTTTGTTAAGCAACCAACAGTCAGGTTGAGGTTAGCACTAGGGTACAGAGTTTCTTCCAGGCATATCTTCGAGAAGGGGGGGACGGGGACTCCACCCCCCCCCCCGAAATTTGTATACCGCCCCCCCCCCCCCCCGAACAAATAGAATTTATAAATTTCAAGTGCCCCCCGGAAATAAAAAAATCTGGAAGAAACACTGCTACTAGGGTAAGCACAAGACCAGGGGTGTGGGTAGGGGGGGGTGACGGGGGGAGGGGGTGACACCATGACCTAATCATGCAAACTATAGAGAAAACAATGTTACATTCAGCTGTATTAATAACCGACTATAGGTACATATAGTTAGTATTAACTGTGAACACTTTAAAGCTATTACCAGGGCAGGGGTGTGGAGGGGGGGGGGGGGGGGGTGACACCAACCTGCAAATTTTATAGGTGGATTAAAATAATGTGTGCACAAATTGAACTCGGAGGGAGGTGTTACCAATTGCAAATTGCAACAATATATATGGGCCTTCGTTGGATACACACATATATATATATATATATATATATATATATATATATATATATAATATATATATATAGAGAGAGAGAGAGAGAGAGAGAGAGAGAGAGAGAGAGAGAGAGAGAGACAGAGAGAGACAGAGAGAGAGAGAGAGAGAGAAAGAGCATATACTTTTTTCCTTTGGTGGGGACTGGGGGGGTGGACCACCATGCGGTGGACGCCCGACCTAGCGACGCCACGCAGGAGAAAATACTCACCAAAGTCATTACATTTTCTCGCCATCCACCTTTCTAGTTCCTTTCAATGAACTCCGGTGTTTCACACGACAGGACTCCTCAGGGTCCTGACCCCCGGGATGGGTTTTTGGGAGCAGGTCTGTGGAAGAGTGGTTTGGGTTACGCAGGGGTCGGGGGTTTGCATCCAGGTCATTGGATCAATTAATGAGACCTTTTTTCACATTTATGGAGCGGCGTGGTCGAATGGCAGAGCGCTAGCCTGCTAACTTGAAAGTCTGGAGGTCGAATCCCGGGCTTGAGTTCGCAGCACGTCACAGAGTCTAGCCAGCTCTGATAGGTGCCTGAACCGAAGGCTCGTCATAGTGTTAACCAGACTATAAGCCGGGGTTATAAAAACAGATGAACTCTACCTCAACTGCTCCGTGGATCGCCCTGGTCCGAAAGATACTGTTATGCATTTTGTAGTAAACATTAATATTGAAAAAAAAAACATTTGGCTTTTGTTTTACTGCAGGCAATGAAGTTAGTTTTTAAAATTAAATAACTGTTTCAGAGAAAATACGTTTCTAGCACAGTTCATAGCCCTGCTAGTGTGATACCCTGTATATGGCTTTAAATCTAGCCCTGACTGTATAATAATTTTCTTATAATTAGAACGGACATTAACTCAAACCCTAAGCTAAGGGCTACCATGACACACTATACACACTATATACATTAAACCTAAACAGGAAACCTCTAGCTAGACCGCACATTAATCCTTACCTTAACTACTTAGCTACAGCAAGATATCTACCAATATAAGCAGGAGGTATTACTAGACCGAACGTTAACCCTAATGTTAACCCAAACCTCAGCCATAACCCTAACCACTTACCCACAGCCCCCATGAAACACCATAAAGCATAAAACACACCAACATAACCAGGAAACCTTTAACTAGACAGGACGTTAACCCTAAACCCTAACCGTTACCTAAAGCCACAATGAAACACCATAAAGCATGATATAAACACCAACATAACAGTAACCCTAACATTTACCACTTAACCACACCCACCATGAAACACCATAAAGCATGATATAAACACCAACATAACCAGGAAACCTCTAACTAAACTGGACATTAACCGTAACCCTAACATTAACCACTTACCCACATCCACCACGAAACACCATAAAGCATGATATACACCACCATAACCGTAACCCTAATCGTAACCACTTACCTAAAGCCACCATGAAACACCATAAAACATGATATACACCAACATAACCGTAACCCTAATCGTAACCACTTACCTAAAGCCACCATGAAACACCATAAAACATGATATACACCAACATAACCGTAACCCTAATCGTAACCACTTACCTAAAGCCACCATGAAATACCATAAAGCATAATATACACTAAAATAACCAGGAAACCCTAACCCTAACCTTAACCACTTACCCACAACCACCACGAAACACCATACAGCATGATATACACCAACATCACCAGAAAACCTTCCATCGAGTTTGCGCCTAGGTACGCCACGCAGGCCAAAAACGTCGACACCACGTAGGCGCCGTTGGTGAGTTCTTGCAGGTACAGAACTAGAACACTGGCAGGAACATCATACAGGACGGGGATAGGGGGCGATCGTGTACGAGACGGCGTTGCAGACGACAAAAATAATAAAAAATGGCGATCGTCCTCGACATGTCCCCACAGTTTGGACGGGTGTTCCCTATACACTTTTCGTGAGGTGGCCATTTGTTGAAGGTGAGCTCCCTTTCTTCTATGACGGATCAAATCAAACTAAGAAAAGGTTGTTTCCCTTGAATTGCCTAGCGTAGGCGCTTGCAATCTCCCGCAAGGGGCAATACAAGTGGACCTCACTCAACTGGAACGAAAAATTGATTTATATGCTAAAATTGATTAAATGGGTTTATATTATAATGTTCATGAAATGCGTTTATATTATAGTTGATGAAATTATTTTGTATAAGGACTTCTTACATAAGTGTCCTCTAGTGTGACCTATTTTCTTCTTGACAACAGCTTTCTGAATTCAAAACATCTTTATTGTTTAAACGCTAGACTGCTTACACAATTAATAAGTATTAGATTGTTAACCCCTTTTAATTGTACATTGAGAAAAACTATTTAAATATGCATCAATCCAATTAACCACCATAAATAAAAGAAGTTTTCTCCTAATTAATTTGACTTACATTATACAGGGAACCGCTATGGAAGTTTTTTTTTAACCAACTAAATACGCGTTCACATTTGGTACTAAAGGACGCACGCATTTTGAGAAAACTGGTGCGCACATTTTTAATTTTTTTTTGGTTGCCTTAGAATCAAACACAGCACTGAGTTGTTGATAGCCAGAGAAAAAGGGGGAAAAAAGGAAAACAGTCTCTGTCTCATCACTCTGTTTGAAAATAAAAAGCTAAAAAATTTAAAACATTTATTTATTCTTCTACATTATTAATTTTAAGATTGTAAATTATTTCCTCCAACACAGTTAACCCTGCAAGCGCGCCAAGCCACAATCGTGGCTTTGCTGTTACATAACTTTTAACACGTAAGGCCACATTTAATTAAAGTATTACGGTTCTTATCAACTTGCGATAAAACATTTGGCCCGTTGACTACAATTTCAGCCTGCTTTTCTTTCTGGATTTGCTTCAATAGTTTTTTTTTTTCCCATCCAAAAGCAAACTACAAGGTAGCAGATGTTTACTTTGGAATTTTCTCACCTGGATGGGATGCTGTCCACAGCTATCGAGCCTCATCTGCCCGAGAAAATCTTAAAATTATTTCGTGTATTAACAAATGTCAGGTATTTAATTAATTTTAATTAATTAATTAATTAATCAACCAATTAATTAATTAACCTGTTAATTTAGAGATGGGACGGCATGGTCAAAAGAGCGTTAGGCTTCTAGCCCGAAAGTCTAGAGTTTTGGATTTCGGTTCGGATTTGTGAATGTAAGACGTCACTGAGTCGATCCAGCTTTTATGGGTACCTGGTTTACATTGGTGATAGTTAAGGCGGCTGGGCATATTATTTACCCACACTTAATTTATGTGGGTGAGACGACACTAGTTAAGATATTTATTTTGTTAATAAATTATATATTTTATTTTTTATTTTGTCCGGAGGGTGGGGGGGGGGGTGGGGAGCGGTGCTCCTGAAAGAAACTCTGTACTCGATTGACCGTCGATACTTTACTTTTTAAATAACCAAATGGAAGAAAGGTGACAAATGAAACTATGGCTCGTGTTCACAACATGTCTCTTCTCTATGTGAAATAGATACTTTTCTAAATAATTAAACTACATTTCGCTTTACCGTGAAAGCAAATCGGCCGCAGCGCAAACAGAAATTTCCGAAAACTGCGCATTCTCTCGCACCGTGCACGGCCCGCACAAAGTGTGCCCCAAAGTTGACATTGTAATGGCTAAATCTGCGGAATAGTTAAGGAAAAAAAAAACAGCAGTCCGCCTTAGGGACGACTTAAGCGGGGTAGGAGGTTAATTTTTAATACGTTAACAGTATTTGATAATCCACCAATAATCACTTTAAATAGATCCTCATCTAGATCTAGTATTCATAATGTCACAATGTGATCATTGAGTTTCCTAACGACTGAAAAGTTCTTTAAAAATGAACTAGGCTTTAGTTAGATCTAGAAACTAGATATCTATCTAGATCTACATCTAGAATCTAGATCTACATCTAGATTTAGATCCAGATCTACTAGATCTATAGCCCTATCTGCAATGTTTCTTCCAGGCATCTTTTTGCCCCCCCCCCCCCCCCCCCCCCCCCCGAGAAAAAAGTCTGGAAGAAAACACACAGCCTATCTTGTCTAAATTGCGGTTAAAAACATGATTTTCAGAGGTAGACTAGATTCTTCTAGGAAGAATAGCTTATCGAAGCTATTTTGTGTGTGCAAGTATCGTCACCCTTAAATTTTACTAGATCTAGATAACATCTAGATCTAGTTTCTTGTCAGAGTTTGTTTATATGGACTTGGCATGCTGTTGTCGATGTTGATAGAAGGCTGATGACATCTGCTTGATTAAGCTATTACTTTCATCATTATTTTGTTTTTGTTCATTTCGAAACATAGAGCCTCCGTCAAACTGCCTCCTCTTTACGGTCTCCTGACACTTTTTTCAACCTCTCCCGAGTCTTTCCTCCTTTTATTCCCCCCCCCCCCCCGAACAGTGCATTGCCATAGCTTCTTGGGTCGACCTCTGCCCTGGGGGGTTCCTTTCCGAGCAGTGTTTCTTTCACTTTTTTTTCTCCAGGGAGGTGGCACTTGATGTTTTGCCCCCCCCCCCCCCCCCCTCTCGAGAGATGCCTGGAAGAAACTATGACTCCACGATCTGTCAGGCTCTGTTGCCAGTATCTTAATCTTTCCTGAACGTGTCCCCCAATCCATCGCCATTTCCTGTTCATGATATGCGTGTCTGTAGTTTCCCCCATAGTTTTGTATTTGCTATCATGTCCTGCCATTTTTATTTTCAAAGTAGATATAAACGTTTATAAAATTCTGGGATTCTTTTAGTTGTCCTGCTGTTCTGGCTGTTCTTCTTCTTCTTCGTTCTTAATTTTTAGTGTTGGCAGGGATCGAGTCTTATCTGCCAGAGGGTTGAACTCGACACTTTTTTCGAATTTATCAACCATGAGCTTTGCCGACTCGACCATGCTTCCATCACAATTAAGGATTACGTGTCCAACTGGTTATGCGCCATTGAGGCCATTGGCTCCGATTTCAGCCTGCTTTTCTTTTTGGATTTGCTTCCATAGCCTTTGTCCAACCAAGAACAAACTACAAGGCAGCATTTGTTTGATTTTGGAGTTGTCTCTCCTAGAAGAGTGGCTGTCCCCAGCTAACGAGCCTCATCTGCCCGAAGGTTCGAACTCGAGACTTTTCGGTTAGCAATCATATGCTTTACCGACTCGACCACGCCGACCCCACTAGACTTGCTTTAACGTTGGAGATCTAGGTCTAGGACATTATCACCCTGGGAATTACCCCCACCCCCCCCCCCCCCCAGCTAGAATCCTGACTCTATACCACCTATATATTACCTTAATCCTAACCTTAAGAAAAAGACCAAAACCTAAGCATTCAACAAGCGCTTAACTTAACCTTCACGCTAACCCTAGCTGTACCTGAAGCAATGAGGGGGGGGGGGGGTAATGTCCTACTGGCCGGGGGGTAATTGACTTGGGGGTAATTGACAGGGGTAATTACTCCGGGGGGTAATGTCGGGAGGGGGTATGTCAGGGGGGACTAACGCCCTGTTCCCGGGGATTCTTATTTTAAATGATTAACTTGACTTTGATTTTTTTTTTACTTGCAGCAACGGGTAATCTACAACAGCGAACCCCCTCCATACTGACGGGATGTTAAGAGACTACGTTGAGCTTAAGTTGATCCCCGCCCTGCCTTGAAACGAGCATCGTGGAGACATCGATACCTCTCGCTTGTACCACATCGATACCGCTCGCTTGTACCACATCGATACCACTCGCTAGTACCACATCGATACCACTCGCTAGTACCACATCGATACCACTCGTTTGTACCATATCGATACCACTCGTTTGTACTACATCGATACCACTCGATTGTTCCATATCGATACCAATCAGTCTTACCAGATCGATACCACACGCTTGTACCACATCGATACCACTCGGTCCTACCACATCGATACCACTCGCTTGTACCACATCGATACCACGCAGTTGTACCATATCGATACCACTCGGCCTTACCACATCGATACCAGTCAACAGCGCCACCCCTGGTCATCAAACCACGCACCACTCCTCCGCCGTCACGTGAACCGGAAATGCCCCCAAAACGAGACAACAAGCCCAGAAACTCATTCCTGAACTTCGACGCCCTCATCCTCTTTTGTACATTCATCTGCGCCAACGGAGTGGCGTTCGCCATACGCCAGGACATGGCCGTCCTGATGGCGACGCCGACGATATTCGTCATGCACCAGGTGGGGCTGATCGGAAAGAAAACCGTGGTCTTGGTGTTCGCTATTGGACTGGCGTGGTTGGCCTACTTGCAGACTGAGTCCTTCTACATTCTCGCAGTGCACAGCATTTTCTACCTGGGGATACTTTTGGTAGGTCCTGGGTTGGGGTTGTTGTTGAAACTGTTGGTACCAGAGGCGTAGCGAGGGGGGGGGGGTGGCGGGGGGGGACATATGTCCCCGGGCGCCGACCTTGGAGGGGGGCCGCCAAAATGGGTTTGAAAAACAAATTGAAAGTTTGAGGGGGGGGGGGGGTGCAAATCAAAAGTTCGAGGGGGGGGGGGGGGGGTGCAAATCGGAAGTTTGTCCCCGGGCGCCGGGAAGGGTCGCTACGCCTCTGGTTGGTACGGCCTGGGTTAGGGTTGTTTTTAAAGCTTCATTTGGATGCAGAGCATGGTAGTGCGATAAAGGGTGGAGGGGTTGAGGCTAAAGTGTAAGAGCTCGACTCCTAGTTCTGTCAGAATTTTAAACATCATTTGTTTGCATACATGGTGGTGCACTAAAGGGTGGAGGGGTTGAGGCTAAAGTGCGAAGTTCGAATCCTTGTTCGGCCTCAATTTTGAGCTTCATTTTGGTTGCAGAGCATGTTGATGCAATAACGGGTTAGGCGAGAGTTCGAATCCTCGTTCTGCCAGAATTTTAACCTAGTTATTATCCCGGGGAACACGAAAAACTAAATTAGGCAACCGATATTGATTGATGTGGCAGCTAGTAATTTTAAATTAAAGCACTTAATTAAAACAAGGAAACGTGGATTGAAGATACAACCACAGTTTTTTTTCAACTGACCCTTGTATTTTCTCTCAAACAGCTCACATCCATTAAAATTGGCCCCACTTTTGCCTATCCATCTAATATGTCCCCCACATAAAGATCACCCCATTCAAAATGCCTCTACATGTACGCATAATAAGGGGGTTGGGGGTGAAGGGGGGGGGGGGCGGACTAAACTTTCCGGGGGTAGGGGGCGGACACTAGTAAAAGTATATATTTTTTACATGAATTATATTTCGTTCAAGGGAGGTGGGGTGGGGGTTAGACGTTATTTTAAGAGATGCTTTAAACAAACTCTGGTTATACCTACAACGAACCTGACACATTGCATGTAGATTTAACACACATTTCCACTACCAACTGTTCCTACATCATCACACGAGTCTCAGTAAACAGCATCAGGACTAACCTTTAGGTCAAACAATTTGTAGTAAGTAAGACATTACCTTACCCCTTGTCGAGTACTAATTCAGGCAGATGAGGTTCGTTAGCTGGGGACAGCAAACCGTCTGACAACTCCAAAATCAAGCTAATTATGCTTTCCGTATTGCTCTTGGATGGACAACAGTGGCGTAGCCAGGATCTTCTCAAGGGGGGGGGGGGTTCCAATTTTTACCCGGGGACAAACTTTCGATTTGCACCCCCCCCCCCCTCAAACTTTCGATTTGCACCCCCACCCCCTCAAACTTTTGATTTGCACCCCCCTCATACTTTTTATATGTACCGAAGGGTCTATGGGGGGTATGACCCCCCCTGCCTACGCCACTGATGGACAAAGGCTATGGGTGAATATCCAGAAAGAAAAGCAGGCTAGAGTCGAATCATAAGGCAATATGGCGCATAAAACTTAATTGTGTTGGAGAAAATCCCCTTCAGTATTACAAGTGAGAATGGAGAAAATAAAATAACTTATCGGCCTTAAATCTGATACGGTTGGGGTAAAGGGCGTGGGTAGTGGTCTAGATGGATACAATTTTCTGGCATTAATTACATAAAAATGCCAGGTTTGGGGGTCGTCCAAAAATGACGTCACACTCGTAGGGGGGAGGGGGGGGTCCGCAATTTTGTGACGGTGTGTGATGAGGGGGAGGGGGGGGTCAGATGGTGCGACGTCACACTTTTGCATTATAAAAAAGCAATGTTAGAAAACGAATTTTATTACGTTTTAGAAAACTGTTTTAATAAATTGTAATAGCAATTGATTAAAATACTCAATTTTGACAGAGTTCAGACAAGATTTTGGAAAAATATAGCTGTTTAAAAAAAATTCAACTGCAATTTTGAGGGGGTTGTAGGCTGAGGTGTGACGTCATTTTAGGGGGGGGGTCTGGCTTTTTGTGACGACGTGTGACGGAGGGAAGCGGGGGGGGGGGGGGAGGTAAAAATCGTCCAAAAAAAGCCTGACGTCATTTATGGATGACCCCTTTCTTTCTTTTAACTTTACCGATATCATGTATCGTGGAATTTTTTTTTTAAAAAAAGGGGGGGGGGGGGAACGTAGCTAGGGGAGGGCGGGTGGGGTGGCCGTCCAAGGCGCCAAACTAGGTGAGGAAAAAATAAAAAGCTCATTGTGAATTATACACATTCTAAATTAAAAAAAGAAGACTGGTTATTGGATTTACAGACGGATTTAACTGACTGATGCATCAATGTATGACACCGAATGAAATACTGTTACAGGATAGTGCAGAGGCGTATCGAAGGGGGGGGGGGGGTGCGGACCGCATCGGGTGACACCATTTAGGGGGGTGACACCAAGTCAAAAAATATCAAAATGTATAGAGAAAAACTTGAGGGGGGGGGTGCAAATCGAAAGTTTGGGGGTGGGGGGCGCAAATCGAAAATTTGAGGGGGGGTGGTGCAAATCGAAAATTTGTTCCCGGGAAGGGTCGCTACGCCTCTGGGGGGTGACACCATTAAGTGCCGCACCGGGTGACACCCGACCTCGCTACGCCACTGGGATAGTGTCTGGTAATATGCGAAACCAACCTTTCCAAATGGAGAAAGGGGTGGGGGGAGGGTGATGAGCTTTTTAGCCAACTTGATAAACTATATATAATGTAAGGGGGGGGGGGCGCAAAACTGATCGTTCGCCCGGGCACCGGAATGGGTCGCTACGCCTCTGGAGGGGGAGAGGGAAGAGACGACGATGTGATAATAGTAGAGGGGGATGGGGGGTAATGTCCCAAACCAACAGTCAAACATGATGCGAAATGAGAGCTGTGTTTATTTTCAGAAAAACATGGCGGACAGCAACGTAGCGGGGGTCTACTGAGAACTCTAGCGTGGTATTCACCTTTAGCTAGCACGAGAAACGTCCTTGACCCGTTAGATAACTCGAGAAACACTTTTCAACTTTAGATAACTCGAGAAAACGTCTTTCAGCCTAAGATGTCTCGAGAAATGTGCTTCCCTTTAAGATCACCTTTGGATAACTCAAGAAATTTGCTTTATTTCTAGATAACTCAAGAAATCAGCATCACCTTTATATAACGAGCAATGTCCATCCCCACTGAAAACCAACAGAATGTTCATCTGCAATGAAAGCCATGTTTTGTTTCGTTTACAATTCAGTTTGACATCATATTTGTAACTTTTTACCCATCCCCCATCAAAAATAATATCAAATCTAGCTATTGAAATAAATACAACGAAAACACTTTCTATTTTTTCCATTTTTCTAGTGATATAAATAAACAAATGTAGCTTTAGAAGGGAAGGAATTAAATGTTTTTTAATTATTGTCTATGTGTTTTGTGGGAATGTAATTTTATTTTTTTTACCTTGGTACAAAAAAAAAAAAAAAAAAATCAAACACAAAATATTCTTAAACTAAAAAAAACCTTAAAATTGAAAACAAAAACATTTCTGAAATTAATTGTTTACTTTAGCTTGTGGCAGTTGCATATGTACAGTGACACATATTTTTTTCATAAGTCATAAAACTACAGCCTATATATAAAACAGAAATAAAATACTTAAATTATCCAACAAGTTTTCTAAGCAGCACCTTATTGGCAAAACGAATGCCCTTGTTGTACTAATAAAAAAAGTCTAACAAATTAAAATTAGCTTTGTAAATAAATGAAAAATAAAATTAAATAAAGTCTATGTATATTTCATGCTTCAAATCTTTGTTTCTTAAGCATATTTCATGCCAAAATAGTCTAATGGACAGAATACTAAAAGTTGTAGTTTTGCCTAGTACAGTTTACAATAAAAACTAAAGAATCCTCTTTAGACCTAGCTATCCATTGGGCAACTGAAGTGGAGTTCATATGCCGAATAGTTTATTCATGGACATTGTCACATAAAATGGAACAAAAATTGACTATAAATTATATAAGCTGCACAGGAGAAATTGTTTAAATTTTTTATAAAATTGTGTTACTTAAACAAAAACAGATACATATTTGCCAACAAAACACCATCCAGAGTACACACTGTGTTTACTGACACCATATGGGCACTGATTCGCTCAATGGTAGGAAAATTAAGTCTCCCCCAAAAAACAAGGGTGAGGAGAACTTGTTTAGGATACCATCACCTCCCAGCATCAAGTGAGATGCAACCCTCAATGTTGACAAATAAAATTCTTCCCAACAACACCTAGCAACAAGAACTTTTCAGTTTTCGTTATGTGATGGGCCACACATGGCGCAAGCGGTAGAATGACCAATGACAAAGAAACATGGAGAACGACGTAGATGGCAGCCTATACCACTGCAGGAGTGATGAAAGAGGATTACAAAGACACTGGTCAGCACAATGACCAGCCTACACAGACTCTCCCAGATGTAATTAGGCATGTACTGGATGGGCAAAACAAAAACCTGTACTGAACTGCACACAAATTTTGACAGGTATTTTTATGCTCAGGTTGTTTATCTCTAGATAAATTAAATACAAAATCCTTACATAGACTGAATAATGATCCACTTCGAGATTGAAGAAGAATAATAAAAGGATTTTAAAAAATACATATTCATATTCTTAAGAAACTTAATATTTTCATTAAAAAAGGACTTCGCATATATTTTTTTATTAAGAAAGAAAAAAATAATTTTGCTACAATACTGGGTTAAGGTGATGATCTTGAAGACCACAGCATTTTTTAAATTTCTGTTAATAAAATCTTTCTAACATTTTGTTTTGGATTGCACACAAATGCTTTTTTTTTCAAAAACATTGAATAAAAAGTTCACTAAATTATAAACAAATATTTATTTATTGAAAAAAAATGTGGAATTACTCAGGGTATACACTATCCACAAGGACATTTTTAACAAGATTAAAAAAAAACAGCCAACACAGATGTTCTTAGCTTGTTAGGTAAACACTCAACTTTAACACGTCAGAATATGACATTCATCAGAAACATAACTACAGAAATTGACACAATTATATACATATCAATTTACTAAATTGATGGTGAAACATGATACAGTTTTCTGTGTTATAATTATAACCAGTTTAAAATAATGTGTGATAGAAAATCAGATAAATCACTGATTTATTCCTACCATTGACATCTACAAAATGAACCACTGACATCCTACAAGACAGTGAACCAATGACTTACTATAATATACTGAACCATACTTACTCCAACATACTTAACCACTGACTCACTAAAACATACTGATCCACTGACTTACTGCTATGTACTGAAATAATGACTCACATTAACTTACAGAAGTACAGACTTACTATAACACACTAAACCACTACAACAAATTAAACTACTGACTTACATTACCTAACTGAATCACTGACATACATCAACATACTTATCCACTGACTCAATTAGTTTACATTCACTTTCAAAAGATGACTAATGAAAGCTTAATATAAAGATACTAGCCACCAAAAAGCATTGAAAAAAATCAGTAAGGAGAAACAGATTGTTCTAATAAAACAATTTAAAAAGTATAGTGAAACTGCTTGTCATAATACAACCAAGACATAGCAGTAAAGTAAACACTGCTTGTCCAGGACATAAACAAACAGATAAGAAGAAAAAAAAATTTCAAATACTTGATATCAACTCAAAGATATGAACCAACATATTTCTTGGCTATAAAAAAATGAAATCTTTTAAATTGAGCATTTATTTCCACTCTGATTAAACAAATATCAATATTATTAAAATAGTTTGTTTAAAGTAATATTTGCATTAAACTACTTTTTATGCAAAATATATATGAATGGCAGTTTATATTCTTTTTTACGCTTAATATAAAAAAAAACAGGAAAATTGTTAAATAATTTTATAGGTTAAATAGAATTGACATGGTTTTGAAAATAATTGCAGCTATTTCACAAGAAGCTTTCTCTGTGTTAAATTTACAACTTGAAACAACTCCAACATCATGACATCGGAGATCTGTCTTGTTTTAATTAGCCGCTAAAGCAATCAACATTCATACATATACTGAGGATTATACAAACCAATACATTAAACATACGGAATAATTTACAACCTCTGCAAGAGAAAGTCTGCAAAAGATGAATTCCCCAGTCATTAAACACAGCACCAGCTTCCTCCCTCACAGAACCTCATGGAATGTTATCCAATGGCTGAACAGTTTAGTCTGCTTTGAACTGTGGGATAGGTTTGCTGTCATCACTCCAGGCCACATAGATGAACATGCCCAGTATTACATGTACCAATGCAATGGCTACTACAGCTGCATAAAAATAACTGCTTGACACTGCCATTCCAAATAATCCTGTAGATGAGAGTTATGCCTTTATTATTATCGGAAAATGTAATTTAACTATTTTTTGCAAAGAAATAGAATTATGTTCAACCTAATTTTTTTCTTAATTTTAATTTTAAAAAAATTAATATAATAACAAATACTTCGATCATTTACCTTTACGTTAACAAATAAAAACTATATGTAGTTTGTGTATGTATGTAAAAAACCATAAACTGTAGATGGCATAAATATATCCCAAAATGCACTAATCAAAATACAAATACTTATGAAATAAACTCACCTTCAAAAATCACAGATTTACTAAAGAAGTATGAAAATATTGGCAGGACAATCATCATTATGGTAAAAATCAGCATTGTGTTCATGACTGAACTGGCTATTTTCTGACCAGCCATTTCTGCAACTGAAGGCAAGAACTGGAGGAACCTAAATGTAAGAAAGAAAGAACAAAATAGTTACCTTCATCTTATTAAAAAAAAAACAACCAATATTTAAGTTTAAACAGAGATGTTTTCATTTGTGTTGTACTTTAGGAAAAACTTAGGCTGGGTGGGGGTAAAATACGAAGGTGTGTATGTTAATTGTACCGCACTTGATTTACAATGAGAAATGGGAGACAATGTTTAGAATTTAAAATATAGATCATAATCTACATATAAATTTTTAAAAACATAGATCTAGTCTCAAATAATATTCTCTTTATTAAGTCACAGTGATCAGTCAATCGAGAAAAAATTATTCTCACACTGACAAGAAAACATGAGTGGGGGTACGGGCAACGATGTTAAGATTTTTTAAATAAGCCAATAAGAAATAATCTTAACTAATTTAAGAAAATAAAAGAATAACATAGTCCAACAACACGCGTAAAGTTTCCCTTTCAAACCTGACGGTCTATTGGGCAAGTGAAGTAGAGTTCACTTGTTTCTGTGACCTCGGCATATGAAGAGATAGTGTGATCAGCACTATGCCCAGCCGCCTTTACTTTCCCTAACGTGAGTTAGGTACCCATCAGAGTTGGGTGGACTCAGGGATGGTCTACTGACTTGAACCCGGATTCGAACTCGAGACTTTTGGGTTAGCAGTCCAGCTCTCTACCGCTAGACCACACGCGTGATATATCTATATTTACTTGGTTTAGTTAATAGCTTTTCTTCTTGCACATCAGCTGAAAAAGCAAAAGACCTAGAGTGTGAAATAAAATAATGTCTCACTAATCTTGATTCCACAGGTATTTGTATTGCAAATATTGCATTTCCTTCTCACAATATAATTTGTATTGCATTTCCTTCTCGCAATATGTGAATATAAAGATCTAGGCCTATGTTATGGGTCAGTTGTAGGTTAGATAGAAATAGGTTAGAATAATCTAGAATTAGGGGAGAGTGAGTGTGTGAGTTGAGTTTACCCTAGAGCAGGGGTCTCCAAACTTTTCAGACAGAGGGCCGCATTAACTATCAAATTTCAGTTTGGAGCCAGTTTCTTCCAGGCATGTCTTTGATTTTTCTGGGCAAGGTTCCTCCATTAGCAACAAATGTTTTTTCGTGGACAAAAAGATCTCAGCGGGCCGGATGAGAGGACGTCGCGGGCAGCATCCGGCCTGCGGGCCGTAGTTTGGAGACCCCTGCCCTAGAGTATTGTTAACCCTGTTGTGTTTATGTATTGTTATCCCAAGGTCGAATGCGGTATAAAAGTTGGAGTGAATGGTTGTCAGGGTTAGTTGGTAGCGGTTAGGGCGACCCTGTAACATTGAACGTGAAACTAAATAAAAGTATGGCCGATGCTAGCCTTTGCGGCAATGTTTTCTATGGTACTGTGCATGCATGTGTTTACAACCGCAGAACCCTAACACCAACCCTAATCCTAACTCTAATCCTACCCCTAACCCTCATTCTAGCCCTAACCCTAGATCACTGCGCATGCGCAGAGCTATCTTTTGCCGACTAAGTGGAGACGTAGGGGAGAAAAATCTTCTTCCGAGTAGTCACTTCGAAGAAGTCGTAAAAGTAAAAGTATACCAGATACCATGGCCATGTGTCACGAATCGTTGAGTTGAATCGAACCCGGACGTAACAGCCTATATATCACATGTGATTAGTGGGTGTATTTGGTGCATTTGTCAGGATTAGTTGAGTTGTAAAGTAAAAGTAAGAAAATAAGTGAAGTTCGAGTGTCGGAGTAGTAGATCAGTAGATCTAGTTAAAAAATGAGAGTGAGCGAACAGTGAACACTGGAAAGTTGTGCCCACAACTAAAACCAGTTTAAGACACAATTTGAACTTACTTTTAATTGAAAAAAGCTACTTGTATACAAATAGAATCTTATTCTAAAAACGATTTTGTTTTCAACTTTTAATACAGGTTCAAAATAATTATATCTAAATTAATTATTGTAGTAGCAGTAATCGTCTACTTTCTATCCACCTGACCTATTGTTGTTTTATACCACTCTTCAATGCATTGAATCTAAATTAGTACTATTTCCTGTTAAATTCTAGCTAACGCAACACCTCGGCTAAAAATAAAATTGCTAAAGAATCTATTTAGCCTAACATAAGTTTATCCTTCAGATCTAAGTTATATACAAACATATATTGTTTAATTTTGCTAGTAAAATCCCTTTTTATAAAAAAATTGAGCAAATTTTATTAAGTGCGATATAGCAGTTATAGTTACTGAAGATACCTTACGTTATAGAAACTACAATATAAAAATACTAATAATAGGCCTAAAAGTTAAATTTTGGTTGAATGAAAATTTTAAGACAGTTAGGCCGATTTTTTAAAATAAAATAAATTAATTTCAAAGGTAACCCTAACCTAATATTATTATCATTATTATACGCTCAGGCTATGCAAACTTCGTTCGTAAAACTCTATACTCTAATATAATAACTGTACAGAAATATTGTTTAATTAATCATTATTTAGCCTTGCTTCTGTTAGTTTTTTTTTTGTTGAATGTTATTTCCGTTATTTAAACTTTCGATTAAAGAGCAATGAACTCTGAAAGCAGCAAGATCATGGCAAGTTGTGTAACAAAAATTCTGTGAGTGAGTGAAGTTACGAAACAGATTTAGATCTAATGTAATAGTTAAAATTGCGCAAACTATTTTTGGTTTGAAAAACACGACAGACACGTCATCCCTTTATTTTGGCTATAGTCTCGCATGTAATCAATTAATTAATAATAATAGGACCGCAAGAACCAAGTTACGTCCAAGTAGTACTCACACTAGATCTAGTACTCAGGTCAGTCTGACTCAGACTGAACTCTGAAAGTGAAGTCAAGTAGTAGTATACTCAGTTACTAGATTCTAGATTCTAGATCTATTTGAGTACCTACTAAAACATAGGAAAATAAAAATTAATAGAATATTGTTAGGCCTAGATCTTGAATACATCTACAATCTACATGGTCATGTTATCATTCTACTTCTACTAATATTTTTAGCGCAATTTCCATACTGGACAATTGCGATTATTAACTCGTCATTTCTGGTGATGGATGGATGTGTGTCCGCAGCTTTAAGTCTTATCTCCTCCTCAACGAAGCAATATCGAGGACTAGTTTCAAAAGCAAATATGTTAAGCAAGTTCCGAGGATGATTGTGGGCCAAAAAAATTCCTGGAATTCCTTCCTGGATTTCTCGGAAAAGCCAAAAAACCTCGAAAAAAATGCAGTTTTTGGCCCATATCTCGGCAACCAGACCACTTAGCGACTTGAAACATTTATCAATCGATTCCTGCCATAATTTAGAACAATATTGCCGTAGAAAGTTTTCAAAAATATCCTTTCGTTCGGTCACAAAAAATTAATTAAGGAAATGGCGCTTAAATTGTCACTAGACTTTTTATTAACTTGTTTTTTAGGTTAGTCATAACATAAACTATAAACATAAATTCTTTTAGCTCTTTAAGTAGTGTAGGCCCTATTGTTTGTATATTAGCCCTAATCAGATTAAACAAGAGCAACTTGCTAAGCTAAGCAGTTTCTTCAATTTTTTATTTTATTTGAGGCCAGGGATATATAGAATTAAATTGTGCTAATTTAAATTATTAGCTAATTTTCAGAATTTCGATGAAAATATTAAAAAAATACTTAGGCTTAGGGCCTAATGAAGAAAAAATTAATGATTAAAATAAATGTTTTTGCATATTTTAACTTTTTATCCAAAGTCATTATTACCGTAAAAAAAAAATCTAAAGTGAGGACCTGCCTATCTTGATGACTGAATTGACAATACTTACATAATACAGACCTATTGATTTTGGATTCTCTCATTGCAATTTTAAAGACTTTTTTAAGACTTTTGCCTTGAAATTACTGCAATCAACACAGTTTTTGTTTTCTATTAAATCTAAAAAGATTTAACTAGCTTAGCAATAAATAATGGTTTTTAGTGATCAACAAGTGGAACAAGAGCTTGATTTGTACCATAAGTTAGTGTTACTCCACTGTTGTAAACTTGCCCATTTGGCACTTTTGTGACCTGGCATTCAATAGAGCAGATAAAGTAGAGTTGCCACACATAAATATTAAAATACTGCACCTTAAAGAAACTTATAGATAACATCCCAACTATTAAATTAGTCACTTTGTTACTTGTTAAGATTTCTACTTAGAATACTGTAATCTGCATAGTTTCTAGGAGAATTAGGACACAGCAATTTATTTAACGAAACTCAGCAGTTTAACATTTGGACATCCCTTTCAATATCATCCACAGTATTATTTTGTGAGTTAGCCCAGACAACCACCATCATGCAGCAGGAGAACGGCCAACTGGCCGAGGAGTATCATCCCCAGCAGACTCCTGCTGCATCGCCAGATAAAGTAATGGTACAGAGGTCTAATTTTGCAGTGAATAAAAAATTACTTCCTATAAAAGGATATTACCTGGTGTTCATGGCAGGTATGTACTAAGAAAATAATACTATTATTAGGAGATTTTTTTTTTTATTTCATCCAGTAAATTATTATTTTCATTATTCACTAACACTATTATAGAGACCCTATTACTTTTTATCCAGTAAATAATTATTTTAATAATTCGATAAGAGTATTATAAAAAGCCTATTGCTTTTTATCCAGTCAATAGTTATTTTAACAATTCGCTATGCTAACAGTATTATAAAGAGCCTACTACTTTTAATGCAGTAAAGTATTTTCACTATTCACCAACACTATTATGAAGAGGTCATTGCTTAAGTAACAAGTAGGATAGAGTGATTTGTTTCTTCTTCAAACACAATTGTTCTTATACTTATTGTTCTTTTAGTTTCTTCTTAGAACTGAACTAAACCAGTATAGACTAGTATTTTAATCATAGTTAAGAAATGATACTTTTCTCATATAATCTTCCGAAATGCTGTTGTATAATTTTTAAACTCCATAATTGTCCCTTATTTTGACCAGCTGTTGGAGATCTTCTACCTTTCATCGCCATCTACATGAAGCAGCTTGGGCTTACGCCACATGAGACAGGGATTATCTATGGCATTATGCCATTTGTGGGATTTTTTGTACGGCCTTTGGTTGGAGCTGTGGCTGATAAATTCAAAATCCACAAATTGACACTGATGGTGATGACAGTTTTGACAGGTAGGTCAATTAACAAAATAAAGATATTAGAATTTTATGAATTTTCCTTACCAAGTTTAAAAATTCTCAATGAAAAGTTGCTTAAATTCAGTAGGTTCAAGAATATGTATGTGTACTAAAAGTATTTTATTAGTTACCTTTTTGGACCTGGTAGGTCAGTTCTGTTAAATGGGATGTGCCCAATTGTTTCACAACTGTGATATTTATGACATCCCAGTTACTTTATAACCGTAGTTTGGGAAAATTTAATGGTTGGACATAGAACTATTTACTTGCTCCTTACTTACTATTTATTTTCTCCTATATATGCTGAGGTTTCAGAAATAGGATAATTGTTTTAATCAAATAGTAATATTACATTTTTTGCTTGCATATATTTTTATTCTCCTACTTTAACATTAGAAATTAATTTGTTTAAAATAGTAGTTAATAGTTTTATTTTTGCACAAAACAAAACAAATTTGTTACCTTTCTTATGAGATCTTGTTTTTTTTTGTTTTTTTTTTTGTTACAACGTACGTTAATGTGTGTCCTTTTCTTTTCAGGTGCATTTTATTTCTTTCTGTTGTTTATACCAGTCCGCACAGTGCCTACCTCCTTACAGCTCCACACCAAATTCAAATGCAACACCCAAGACTCCTTTCTCCAGGACTGCTACAGCCTCAAAAACCTGCAGGGTTGCGACAGCAGTCTGACACAGTTCGCCAATGCCACCGCCTCGTCTCATCACAACACATCGCTGGCTTGCAATTTTTCTTGCAGTATCGGGAGATCCGAGTTTGTTGCCTGCTTTACGAACGATTCCGGGCCTTACAATGAAGAGCGCTGCAACGGCACTCTCAGCCGAACGAAACACCTCAACTTTACTATTCCTGACATTGGCCGCCTTATTAGCAAGGAGATCCCCAGCGATCGGTTTACCGTCAACTTGCAACAGTGTTTTGACTACGACTTAAAGGACGTCATGTTTGAGAAAAACTACACCCATGTGGCGTGGCAGATACTCTGCGACAGAGAGAGCGAGCTCAACTGCACTGTCACCTGCCCACACGTGAAAGAATGCGTGAGCGCATCTGAATCATTCGATAGAACATTTTTCACCTTTTTTATCGTTTTCCTGCTGGCTAATATTGCCTTTGCTCCGATTTTCCCCATTTTGGATGCGGCGGCGTACAACATCTTGGCTGCCGACCACCACAAGTGGGGGCTGCAGAGGGCGTGGGGCACCCTGGGATTTGCTGTTTTTGCTGTGACTGCTGTGTTTTTAACCACTGGTCAAGATGGAGTGTTTACTTACTCTTTTTACATTTTTCTGCCGCTGTGTGTTATTGCTACTATCATAGCATTCTTTTTGAATATGTCTTCGGATATTAAGTAAGTGAAAAAATTTTGCTGAATAGTTAAATAATAATAAATGTTTTTGTCATATTATTATTCTAAAATGAATATGTATTATAACAGGTCCTCTTTTGATATAGATTGTAATATTACAATAGTACCTAGATTGAGATTTATAGTAAGCTTAACAAAAATTTGAATTTTTTTTTTAAAGAAACAACTTGAATCTACAATATACACTTCTTCTTTGTTCTTAATTATAATGTTGGACGTAATTTCCTCAAATACAATAGAGCATTACGAGTCAACCTGTTACGTGACATATACTCCAATTTTAGTCTGGTTTTTCTTTTTCGATATGCTTCCATAGCTTTGTCCATTCAAGAACAAACTGCCAGTTATTTGATTGTTTAGTTTTTCTCTCCAAGATGGGTTGCTGTCCCCAGCTATTGTTCCCGGGGTTCGAACTTGGGGGCTTTTCAATTTAACAACCACGAGTTTTACAGACATGACCACGCAGACCCCTACAACATACACCAATTTTCTTACATTTTTTGTTTGTGCTACTATTTAAAATTGTCTTGTTAAGTAAATGCTGTTACCCTATTGCTCCACAGGTGCGGCCAGTTTGTGAAGAATGTCTGGAAGCTTTTGTCTCATGCTGACATCTCAGCTTTCCTCTTTATTGTCATGTACTTCGGGATGTTGACCGGAGCCCTGGAGACCTTTTTGTTTTGGTACCTGAGCATGATTGGTGGCTCCAATTTGGTGTTTGGATTCATCCTCCTTGTAAACTGCTGTGCTGAGGTTAGTAAGTTCAGTGGTTGCTGTTGTCTCTCATCCACCATTCACTCATTCCAGTAGTTCTATTGTTGGCATCTCTAATCCACTGTTGCACACTTTATCCATTACTTTACACATTTAATCCATTGTTTTACAATCCCACATCCACTACTGCACCATTTATCCATCACTGTAATACACATCTAGTCCAATTTTGCACAACTTAACCATGGTTTTACACCTTGCATCCACTATTGCACTATTTATTCATTAATTCACATCTGTTGCACAATTTATCCATTGTTTTACACTTGTAATCCAATTTTGCACCATTTATCTATTAATTTACACCTGTTATCCACAATTGCACCATTTATCCATTGTTTTACTCCTCTTTTACATTTTTGCACCATTTAACCATGGTTTTACACATTGCATCTACTGTTATACTGATGTTTGTTGGTTTTTGTGTATTTTATTCTTTTACTTCCATTCATGTATCATGCTTTGTCTGTCATTATTTATTTTCATTATTAAATTTTGATTTATAGTTTTTACCTTAATTGTTATATTAAACATGCCTCACTTTTACATATACTTTTATTTTCACACAGTTTATTTTTGCATTACATTATTATTGATTTAAGAGTTTGATAAAATCTTGAGTTTTTATTTTTTTGGGATCCTGTGCTTCAGTTTGTAGGAAGACCCAAAGTCCACCCAGCTCTGATGGGTACATGTGAATAAAATTAAGGTGTTTGGGCATATTGCTGACCACACTATTACCCTGTATATCATTGAAATAGCTTAACTCTACTGCTTCTGCCCCATTTGTCTTTGGCAGAACATGAAAAGATTATGGTTTTCAAAAAAAATATATGTATATCAGTTCTGTCCTGGGGTTGAGACCTTAGGTCATTCAAATTGAAGTGTAACCACCCCATCCCTTCACATCCAACCTGGGGGTGGGGTGTTCTGGGGAGAAAGTAGATGCCCGGTGGAACCAAAGGTCTCTGCTTCAAGCATGAGTTCTGCATCCTATTTTTGTCTACCAGGCATCAGAGTATTGTACAGACAGGTTATGCCCAAACAAGTTATAATTTAATTTTTCTTTCTCCCCATATTATTTTTGTAATTGAGAGTTAATTCCCTTCACAGCTTCCAATATTGTTACTAGCTGGGAACATAATAAAAAAAATTGGACTCGTTAACTGCCTTTACCTGGCCATGGTCTGTTACGCCATCCGCATGATTGCCTACTCCTTCCTGGAAAACACCTGGCTGACCTTGATTGTGGAACCGTTGCATGGGATCTGCTTTGGTTTGATGTACGCTGCGGCTTCCTCGTACGCCAGTGTCATCGCCCCGCCTGGCATGTCTGCGACCATACAGGGTCTGCTGGGTGGAGTACATTTTGGTTTTGGTTCGTAAATTTTAACTTTTTTTTATGTTGGTAGTGGGAAGTCTTTTATATTAAAAAGAATATTTAGACAAAAAAAAAACATTGAAGTTCATGGAATGAGGCTGGAACTGTGAATATTTTTACCAGGAGCTAGATAAATAAATCAGAAAAAAAGGGTACAAAGTACAGTTAGTTATTTAAAAACAGTTATTACTGTTAAGCACATTAAAATGCAGATAATTAGTTTACAAAGGTTACTTGTAATATATGAAGAAAAGATTTTCATCCACTTAAATAATATTAATGTACTAGACCACACGTCATCCTTTGGAAAACTACGGGTTTAAGGGGTCATTCATAAATGACTTTATATGGATAATGTAAACTGATATTATTAACTATCATTTTTAACACGACTATTATCTTACTAACTGCTTGATGGGATCATATCCACTTGGTGTTTGGTTAAAACAATAGCAAGAAATAAAATCTGTTAAAACGCAAACACCCAGATGTTATTAGTTAATTTAGAAAGCAGTAGAGATGTTTAGTTAGATAAATTAGATCATGCGATGATAAGTTTATCATGATTTCAACTTTCACTTGCAGGAAAAGGTCTGGGCAGCCTTATCACGGGTTTTATGTTTGATGGTATAGGACCCAGGTGGACATGGAGGACATATTGCATTGTGTCCTGTGTCCTGCTGGTCCTATACTTCCTCCTGAACAAGATATGTTTCTCAGCTACACCTCGGCCAAAGTTGTCAGAGACCCAAGGAGGTGAGTAGGCACAATAGGGCTGGTAAGTAGGTCACCAACCAGTTCTATGGCTCATGCAGGTTTTATTGAGCCATAGAACTTACCAGCCTTATTGTAATGACACCTAGGCTAGTGATTGATAGTTAAGGTTTTTTTTTTCTATTCAGTCTTCCTCCCCCCTCCCCTTCTATTTTAAAATAGAAATTTTTTTTTTTTAAAGTCAAGTTTGCAATTCTGATCTTAAGAATCATAGGGCAGCTTGAACTTGCTTGCAAATTGGCAAAAGTACCACACAGCCTCACAGCACTCTAGTAGTAAAACTGACAGATGACATTTTATGTTTCCAGGGTTATATAATTTCTTTTTCTGTTTTTTTTTTCATTGACAATTTACCAGAAATCAGAGAGGAACTTTCAAGACAGGAGGAGACTTTAATAAACCCTTGATGATTGTCTGCGGTCAATTGTTCCAGCGATGGTCATCCAACTTGTTTTGTTCCATGGATAGTGTTCCAGGTGGGTTGTTCCATGGATAATGTTCCAGCTGGATTGAATCACGGATGATTCCAGGTGGCTTTTTCCATGGATAATGTTCCAGCTGGATTGAATCACGGATGGTTCCAGGTGGCTTTTTCCATGGATAATGTTCCAGCTGGATTGAATCACTGATGGTTCCAGGTGGCTTTTTCCATGGATAGTGTTACATCTGGATTGAATCATGGATGGTTCCAGGTGATTGTGTTCTCCGGATGGTGATCCAGGTGTTCTGTTCCGGTAGTGCTTTAAACTTTTACCACCAGCATTTGTCTGAGAGATTAAGTACATCTGTTGAATGAGTAAATACAGTGTTTATCTTTGTCAATGAGCTCTCCGTGTGATGCGCAACTGAGGATCTACTTCAAGTTTCTGTGGATCTGTGTGTTTTCAATAGAATTCTGCATTACCAACATCAAGGTTTATCGCATTTTATTATTAAATATAAAATGTATTGATTTTTTTTTTTCGCTGCCAGATAGCGACCTTGTGTTTAAAAGGGGTGTGGTTTGTTTTATTGAGTTTAATTTGAAAAGTGATCCATATCGATGCTAGTTTATTGTGTTTAAAAAGGGTGTGGTTTGTTTTATTGAGTTTAAATTGAAAAGTGATCCATATCGATGCTAGTTTATTGTGTTTAAAAAGGGTGTGGTTTGTTTTATTGAGTTTAAATTGAAAAGTGATCCATATCGATGCTAGTTTATTGTGTTTAAAAAGGGTGTGGTTTGTTTTATTGAGTTTAAATTGAAAAGTGATCCATATCGATGCTAGTTTATTGTGTTTAAAAAGGGTGTGGTTTGTTTTATTGAGTTTAAATTGAAAAGTGATCCATATCGATGCTAGTTTATTGTGTTTAAAAAGGGTGTGGTTTGTTTTATTGAGTTTAAATTGAAAAGTGATCCATATCGATGCTAGTTTATTGTGTTTAAAAAGGGTGTGGTTTGTTTTATTGAGTTTAAATTGAAAAGTGATCCATATCGATGCTAGTTTATTGTGTTTAAAAAGGGTGTGGTTTGTTTTATTGAGTTTAAATTGAAAAGTGATCCATATCGATGCTAGTTTATTGTGTTTAAAAAGGGTGTGGTTTGTTTTATTGAGTTTAAATTGAAAAGTGATCCATATCGATGCTAGTTTATTGTGTTTAAAAAGGGTGTGGTTTGTTTTATTGAGTTTAAATTGAAAAGTGATCCATATCGATGCTAGTTTATTGTGTTTAAAAAGGGTGTGGTTTGTTTGATTGAGTTTAATTTGAAAAGTGATCCATATCGATGCTAGTTTATTGTGTTTAAAAAGGGTGTGGTTTGTTTGATTGAGTTTAAATTGAAAAGTGATCCATATCGATGCTAGTTTATTGTGTTTAAAAAGGGTGTGGTTTGTTTGATTGAGTTTAAATTGAAAAGTGATCCATATCGATGCTAGTTTATTGTGTTTAAAAAGGGTGTGGTTTGTTTTATTGAGTTTAAATTGAAAAGTGATCCATATCGATGCTAGTTTATTGTGTTTAAAAAGGGTGTGGTTTGTTTTATTGAGTTTAAATTGAAAAGTGATCCATATCGATGCTAGTTTATTGTGTTTAAAAAGGGTGTGGTTTGTTTTATTGAGTTTAAATTGAAAAGTGATCCATATCGATGCTAGTTTATTGTGTTTAAAAAGGGTGTGGTTTGTTTTATTGAGTTTAAATTGAAAAGTGATCCATATCGATGCTAGTTTATTGTGTTTAAAAAGGGTGTGGTTTGTTTTATTGAGTTTAAATTGAAAAGTGATCCATATCGATGCTAGTTTATTGTGTTTAAAAAGGGTGTGGTTTGTTTTATTGAGTTTAAATTGAAAAGTGATCCATATCGATGCTAGTTTATTGTGTTTAAAAAGGGTGTGGTTTGTTTTATTGAGTTTAAATTGAAAAGTGATCCATATCGATGCTAGTTTATTGTGTTTAAAAAGGGTGTGGTTTGTTTTATTGAGTTTAAATTGAAAAGTGATCCATATCGATGCTAGTTTATTGTGTTTAAAAAGGGTGTGGTTTGTTTTATTGAGTTTAAATTGAAAAGTGATCCATATCGATGCTAGTTTATTGTGTTTAAAAAGGGTGTGGTTTGTTTTATTGAGTTTAAATTGAAAAGTGATCCATATCGATGCTAGTTTATTGTGTTTAAAAAGGGTGTGGTTTGTTTTATTGAGTTTAAATTGAAAAGTGATCCATATCGATGCTAGTTTATTGTGTTTAAAAAGGGTGTGGTTTGTTTTATTGAGTTTAAATTGAAAAGTGATCCATATCGATGCTAGTTTATTGTGTTTAAAAAGGGTGTGGTTTGTTTGATTGAGTTTAATTTGAAAAGTGATCCATATCGATGCTAGTTTATTGTGTTTAAAAAGGGTGTGGTTTGTTTTATTGAGTTTAAATTGAAAAGTGATCCATATCGATGCTAGTTTATTGTGTTTAAAAAGGGTGTGGTTTGTTTTATTGAGTTTAAATTGAAAAGTGATCCATATCGATGCTAGTTTATTGTGTTTAAAAAGGGTGTGGTTTGTTTTATTGAGTTTAAATTGAAAAGTGATCCATATCGATGCTAGTTTATTGTGTTTAAAAAGGGTGTGGTTTGTTTGATTGAGTTTAATTTGAAAAGTGATCCATATCGATGCTAGTTTATTGTGTTTAAAAAGGGTGTGGTTTGTTTGATTGAGTTTAAATTGAAAAGTGATCCATATCGATGCTAGTTTATTGTGTTTAAAAAGGGTGTGGTTTGTTTGATTGAGTTTAAATTGAAAAGTGATCCATATCGATGCTAGTTTATTGTGTTTAAAAAGGGTGTGGTTTGTTTTATTGAGTTTAAATTGAAAAGTGATCCATATCGATGCTAGTTTATTGTGTTTAAAAAGGGTGTGGTTTGTTTTATTGAGTTTAAATTGAAAAGTGATCCATATCGATGCTAGTTTATTGTGTTTAAAAAGGGTGTGGTTTGTTTTATTGAGTTTAAATTGAAAAGTGATCCATATCGATGCTAGTTTATTGTGTTTAAAAAGGGTGTGGTTTGTTTTATTGAGTTTAAATTGAAAAGTGATCCATATCGATGCTAGTTTATTGTGTTTAAAAAGGGTGTGGTTTGTTTTATTGAGTTTAAATTGAAAAGTGATCCATATCGATGCTAGTTTATTGTGTTTAAAAAGGGTGTGGTTTGTTTTATTGAGTTTAAATTGAAAAGTGATCCATATCGATGCTAGTTTATTGTGTTTAAAAAGGGTGTGGTTTGTTTTATTGAGTTTAAATTGAAAAGTGATCCATATCGATGCTAGTTTATTGTGTTTAAAAAGGGTGTGGTTTGTTTTATTGAGTTTAAATTGAAAAGTGATCCATATCGATGCTAGTTTATTGTGTTTAAAAAGGGTGTGGTTTGTTTTATTGAGTTTAAATTGAAAAGTGATCCATATCGATGCTAGTTTATTGTGTTTAAAAAGGGTGTGGTTTGTTTTATTGAGTTTAAATTGAAAAGTGATCCATATCGATGCTAGTTTATTGTGTTTAAAAAGGGTGTGGTTTGTTTTATTGAGTTTAAATTGAAAAGTGATCCATATCGATGCTAGTTTATTGTGTTTAAAAAGGGTGTGGTTTGTTTTATTGAGTTTAAATTGAAAAGTGATCCATATCGATGCTAGTTTATTGTGTTTAAAAAGGGTGTGGTTTGTTTGATTGAGTTTAATTTGAAAAGTGATCCATATCGATGCTAGTTTATTGTGTTTAAAAAGGGTGTGGTTTGTTTTATTGAGTTTAAATTGAAAAGTGATCCATATCGATGCTAGTTTATTGTGTTTAAAAAGGGTGTGGTTTGTTTGATTGAGTTTAAATTGAAAAGTGATCCATATCGATGCTAGTTTATTGTGTTTAAAAAGGGTGTGGTTTGTTTTATTGAGTTTAAATTGAAAAGTGATCCATATCGATGCTAGTTTATTGTGTTTAAAAAGGGTGTGGTTTGTTTTATTGAGTTTAAATTGAAAAGTGATCCATATCGATGCTAGTTTATTGTGTTTAAAAAGGGTGTGGTTTGTTTTATTGAGTTTAAATTGAAAAGTGATCCATATCGATGCTAGTTTATTGTGTTTAAAAAGGGTGTGGTTTGTTTTATTGAGTTTAAATTGAAAAGTGATCCATATCGATGCTAGTTTATTGTGTTTAAAAAGGGTGTGGTTTGTTTTATTGAGTTTAAATTGAAAAGTGATCCATATCGATGCTAGTTTATTGTGTTTAAAAAGGGTGTGGTTTGTTTTATTGAGTTTAAATTGAAAAGTGATCCATATCGATGCTAGTTTATTGTGTTTAAAAAGGGTGTGGTTTGTTTGATTGAGTTTAATTTGAAAAGTGATCCATATCGATGCTAGTTTATTGTGTTTAAAAAGGGTGTGGTTTGTTTGATTGAGTTTAATTTGAAAAGTGATCCATATCGATGCTAGTTTATTGTGTTTAAAAAGGGTGTGGTTTGTTTTATTGAGTTTAAATTGAAAAGTGATCCATATCGATGCTAGTTTATTGTGTTTAAAAAGGGTGTGGTTTGTTTTATTGAGTTTAAATTGAAAAGTGATCCATATCGATGCTAGTTTATTGTGTTTAAAAAGGGTGTGGTTTGTTTTATTGAGTTTAAATTGAAAAGTGATCCATATCGATGCTAGTTTATTGTGTTTAAAAAGGGTGTGGTTTGTTTTATTGAGTTTAAATTGAAAAGTGATCCATATCGATGCTAGTTTATTGTGTTTAAAAAGGGTGTGGTTTGTTTTATTGAGTTTAAATTGAAAAGTGATCCATATCGATGCTAGTTTATTGTGTTTAAAAAGGGTGTGGTTTGTTTTATTGAGTTTAAATTGAAAAGTGATCCATATCGATGCTAGTTTATTGTGTTTAAAAAGGGTGTGGTTTGTTTTATTGA